ATCATGCACTCCAGTCGCATTCAAATTATCTGGTCTAAACATTTACTTAAAATTAACATCACAAACAACAAGACACAAGGTGAAGTGCGTATTTTATTATAAGATGACAAAAATGTACTTAAGGATAGTGAAAGTACCACATTTACTTTTCTAGCACATTCCCTGATGCACAGTCCACTACATCATTCTTGCCTCCTCTGGTTTCCTCCCCAATGAGGATGTCGCTGCAGACATGCTTTGCTCTGATTGAAGGAGGCGGGGTCTAATTTCAGAAGTCATAAATCTAAACGCTTGTATGAAATATGACCTTTTTGCAGCTCACAGTTTTAAGCTGCTGCTGCTGCTGTTTTCCTTCGTGCATGCTGATGAAGCTCAATGGCAGTTTTTTAACACAACTCTTAAAATCCTGAATGAGCATCGTGATGTAATCGGTGGAGGTGGAAGAGGGTCGATACTTTCTGGGGAAACTTCACTGTGAAACCCAGGACGCCAAATAGAGTAAAACACCCACACAACCTCTGCTTCAGGTCAGTAGTACTGGTGCATGCAGAACGTGGCCTGGAGCTGGACGACCCCTTTAAACCTGCCTTCATGTCGGCACCATCATTCTGACATCACAACATGCAGGATATTGGCTGGAATGAAAATGGCTGGTTTTTATGAGCATGAATATATTTAAAGGTGTTGCTGCAGCGGTGGTTGTTGATGTGAATTTTCAGTGGCCTAAAGCCAAATTAAGATGTATACATACTATTAGAATCATCATTGGAAAAATTAGGAAATCGTGAGGTGAAGAAAAGTGAATTTGCCTGCGGCTGTGATCTTTAAACTCGGTATTTTTTCTGTCCGTGCAGTAGAAAGTCTGATAAGCATGAATAAGAGATTAAATTACCCAATAAGTTGGTCATTACAGTATTTTGTGGGCTCTCATAACGCTGCCAGTGTGCTACACCACTAGAGGTGAGGTTTGTTTGTCCAGTTAATGGGTCCGAGTGTAACTCAATTTAAAACATGAATAAATGTCATTAGTTTAATTGAGGGCAAAAGCTAATTTGGTCACCTAAACAACTTTATTTATATGGCACATTTCAACACACAGCTACAAGGTGCTTTAAAAGTTAAAAAACGGAAACAACAAGAAAATTTAAAGCATTAGATATGGAGAAAAAAATGTGACAGGTGGGAAAAGAGTAAAGACAAAATAATATAAAACCCCAAAGAGAGGGGGTCCTGACAGAAAAGACCTGGTCGCCTGAGGTTCTCAGGCCGGACTGTGTGGAGTGGTGAAAAAGTTGTCCTCATTCGTGAACATAAATTAAAAAGATTTTATTTTACAGTAACTTAATAAACGACTTTAGGCAGTATAAAAGTGCTTACTCACTTTTCATCTATAATTTGTAACTGCCAGAGAAAATTCCCTCTTACTTCTTTTCTCCATCACGCTGCACTGTAGTCCTGAAGTGCTACTTTCTTTATTAATGATATATAAAATGTTTCAGGGCACCTTGATGCTTCTTTAACTTATTCCGCTGCCTCGGCTCTGATTAAGTGCTGCCTTCGCGTTCATTCAGAGTCTATAATTATGTAGACTCTTCTTTGTATTTGCTTAAAATGTAGGTTTTTCTATTTCCTGGATTTTTCACTCTCATGTTTTCAGATATAAAATCCACCATGTTGACTTTACCAAGTCCTAATTGGAAATTCAACATGTTTAAGTTGAATATAAAATGCAGAATCCTGATTGGAAATATCATCGATCAGAGCAACAAGGATAAAGAAGACAAACAATAATAGTTAGATGAGAGAGAAGAGAAAACATTTGAGTGACAGCTGTTCAAAGTACACGCCCTCATGTCCTCAATTTAAATATGTAAAGTTGAGTGTGTGCAGGTGAAGAAAACGAGCAGAAGCTTATCAGAGTTTTCTACAGAAAGAGACGCCGTCTTTTGAGGACGCACACTCTCACAGGTGCCTCCCATTATCAGTGTTACTGTGAGCAGATGTTATGAAGGGAATTATTATTAAAAGAACTGAAAGAGCCCTAATGTGAAGGACGGGCCAAGGATGAGCTGCGTGTTTTTGACATAACGTGCGTGTGACTGTGTGAAAGATGTAAATCCACCTGCTGCAGCTGTGTATTTGCAGACACTGTATGTGAACACAAACGTTTTTGTGCATTTCTCCTCCTCTTCTCATGTGCGTCTGCGATACAGAAGAAAACCGAGGGCACCTTTGTATCGTCTCAGCCCGGACGCCTTGAGGACGACGCCTGAAAAGAGGAGGCAAATAAAAGCAGAATCAGAATCAAGAGAGATCTTTTTTTTGTTTGAACCAAATAAAATTTTTTAGCAGCTCCCACAAATAAAGAAAAACCTCCTAATATCTTGTTGCAGTCAATTTCTTCTGTGTTTTCCACCAAAAAGGTCAAAACTAAGAGGGAAGAGGACGTGTGCAGATAATGTTGCATCTACATTCGACAGAGGAATTCAAACCAGAGAAGATTTCTCATCACATCATTGCTCAGTGGACCTGATTGTGGAGCTGATGAAAAACAACCGACATACTGAGGCGATGTCAAGCTGTTATTATGCATTGAGCAGAGACTGGGCTGGTTAGAGGCAGAGATCCTCTATGTTACAGCAGTTCATTTTGGTTTCATCTATCTAAACCGAAAACTATCCATGTATCCATCCATCTATCATCTGTCTATCTATGACCGTTCTCTCTGTCAGGAATGAGATCTGGACTTGAAATCTTGTTAAAATCTCAATCAACTCAAATAAAAACCTGAAATGCTGCTTCATGCATAAGCATCACAGACGACGTGAACGAAGTGTCTCTACTTCCTCCCGTTACCCTTGTAATGAAGCCTTTTGGATACAAACGCTGCCATCTAGCGAATTTGGAGTCTGCATAGTAGTGATCGGGGGGGAGGAGTGGACTTGACCGATCATGAGTCAGTCTCAGCTGTCAATCATAACGAAGAATTCCACAAAACGACAAAGACAGTAGGTTGGACTTGGACTCTGTTTATTTTAGCTTTGTCCATGACTCAACTATGAACATGGAGGAGAAGGGGACCTAGGCCTGTACTGCAGCCAGCCTACAGGGGGCGATTAAGACACACACACACACACACACACACACACACACACACACACACACTCACAGCGGTGTAGATAATTCAAACATAAACATGACATTCAATGAACAGAAATGATGTTTGCGATTTAAACAGACGGGGCCAGACGCCGGCGACGTAAGAGGATACACGCGCTGCAAAATGGAAGAATTCAGTGTGTGCAGGCGCACATCTGCCGTCTGATGCGTTTGTCCCCTTTAGAGAATACACAGTATGCAAACGTGCCTGTGAATTGTTCCGTGTTGTTAAATTCCTTTATGGATTTTTCTCCTTTTCCTGGAATGGGTTCATAATTATGTGCTGCTGCATGTGTCTGTGTTGACCTCTCCAGTAGACACCAGGGTGTTTAGTATTCTGGTCCGACGCTGACTTTCTGTGCCCAATCATCACACACTTGTACACTCACAACACTCACAACACACACACACACACATTTGAATAGTGCCCTGCTGTCACATAATTTCATTGCGGGCTCTAAAGCAGAGTTAATCAACTCTAATCAATGTTCGTATTATAAACATAATGATAAATTGATGATGTCGAACATAAATAGAGCAAAGATTTGAAGCTTTTGTGTCCTGACAGAGTTCCCGACCCAAAGGAGGACGGAGGGAGGCTCTCAGGTTATTTCTGCGGTGAGTGTCGGTGAGAAATGAGCCTCTGGTTACTTTGTGTTGCTTCTGCTATCGTATGTGTCTTTGACATGTTTGCTAACTTAGCTGTTGTCACTGCTACAGGAATAAAAGATGCAGGTCATTATAACCCTGAACACCCTATTTAATCAGATAAGAAATGTATTTTGTCAGCAGGGTGGTGTTGAAGGAAAGGTGACGGGGGCAAGAAAGTTAAAAGGCTCCATCGCATTGCAAAACAAAGATCAGCCACTTTGAAGTAAATCTTCTGGTCATCTCGTGCAAGGTTAAAATTTCGACCCAGCTGCAGCTCAAGAGGAAAACCTTTGGCCAAAACTGTCAGTACATTTAAAATGTTATATTCAAGCATAATATTTCTTGTGAGCTAGAATTACCACCATGCAGTTGTGAGGCTCTGCCAACCACTGCAGTGTTCCTGACATTCTGCATTCATGATGGAAGACTCAAACATTTAAAAAGAATTCCCTGAAAGCAGATTCAACATTTCATGTTCAATAGTGCACAAACATGTTTTTTGAGGCCACAGTGACCTTTGACAACGCAAATCAGTTCATCCATTACTGCAAGTGAACATTTGTGCTAAGCTTGAAATGAATCTCTCGAGGTGTTCTCTATATGACACGTTCATGAGGCAAAAAAGGGTTTTGTGAGATCACAGCAGAATCACAGCAAAATGTCTGTCTTCTCAGGACCATGAATGTTTACAGCAAATGTAATAAAACACTTCTTCACTGAACTAAATTCACTTGAAGGGTCACAGGCCATAAAAAGCCTGTGAAATATTCCTTTTGTAGCATTAACTCAAAACAGAATGAGAAACACATCCAGATACAGACATGAGAGACACATTCACATGGACTGAAGATCTGCATGAAACAAAAGGCATGCAATCTATTTAAAAAGTGTCCTGAGCTGCCATGCACTATTTTATTCAGAGCTAGTTTGATTTCGACAGAGTGTTGTGTGTGTAAACGCAGGCAGGCAGCAGTAAAAACAGATCACAAGAGACACACACAGACACAAACATGGTGGAGCTGCAGGACACAGTCAGAGAACACAGCAGAAGGAAGAGTTGAAGGTTTTTCTGTTGTAAATCACTCCTAAAAACACACACGTGGAGGATTTAAGCTCAACATTCATGTAATAAAACACCCATTGTCCAGTTCCAGTATGTTTGTTATTACTTTTATTAATTATTATCATCGTCATCATCATTATTTCTTCAAGTTTAGCTGTGTAACAAACTTTTCTTGGCTGTCAAAATATGTTGTTGAAATATCATTTTTTGCATGAAATAAAACCTAAAAACAATAACATACAGAGAAGAAGCAGAATAAAATACAACATGGAGGAAAAGAAAAAAAATCCCATACTTTCTATAAAAGCCATTCGACTGAATAGAGAAATAAAAATTCTACTAAAATATATTGGTTAAATGTACATAGTCATTGTATGTATGTATATGTGTGTGTGTGTGTGTGTGTGTGTGTGTGTGTGTGTGTGTGTGTGTGTGTGTGTGTGTGTTTGTCTGACCAATTACAAACTGGCCTTTCGCTCCCTTGTCTCCCATGATTAATACAGTACATCCCAAAATGTACACTGAATCCGTACCACTGTGTGTGTGTGTGTGTGTGTGTGTGTGTGTTATCCCTTCCTTGGCAATAAGAACATAATAAACTGAGTGCAAGCAACAGCATCAATTCTATAACACATTCGGACAGATTAAAATGAAAACACTTGTTAAGGCCCCCCAATGTAAACGCTGATGTGAAATGCCATCAAACCAAAACACATACAATTCAATAATGAAGTAAAAATTCATGTCCTGTCATGTGTGACCTGCAGAACCTCCATTCTTAGCTAAACGTCCTCTTTTGGAAAACGCAGCAAAAGTTCCTGCCACCATTAACGTCTGTTTGTGTTTCAGCCGTACAGTATCCTCACACGACTCAGGAGGCAACGCCGCAGAAGACGCAAAAGAAGATATTTGGATAAGGAATGAGTTCTGCAGGGTTCTTACAATATGAAAAACGTGCACGAACAAAGGTTTTCATCATCAAGGCTGTGTTCGTTTCGCTCTCAACTCAGTCAAGAGAGAGGATCTTCTTTCAAAAGTTAAACCATCCAAACATTTTGGCATCAGGATTCGTCTCCGGCCCACTGAGGGACGAGATGTAAAACCAGACTCAAGGAAAAAAAAAAAAAAACAGATCATCCTGTTTTCCCACCCACGTAAATCCTCTTTCTACTGTTTTCTTAGAAACCCAGTGAAAATCTTGAAAATTGTTACCAAAAGAACAAGAGAATAGATCACAAATGTCAGGCCTGTTGGAAAATGGATGAGCTCGAATTACAGACATTTCTTTCCACAAACAAAATACAAATGAAGGAGGAGAGAAATTCAACTTTTACCAAGTCAACATGAGATGATTTTTTGGGTTAAAACTCAGAATCAATTATTTTGGGCACAAATCAGAATAACACAGTCAACTAACCTTATCTCAACCCCGTCGACCTGCTGAGAACACCTCAACTACTTTCATTGAAAGTAGGGAGGCAGAGAGGTGGAGGAGCACGAGAGGTGAGCAGCAGAGAGAACAGACGAGAGATAAACAGAAAGGAAAGGAGATAGTAGATGAGGAAAAAGAGGAGTGATGTTAAAGTAGTTAAAGCAAAACAAACGAACGAGAGATGGGATGAATGATCATCAGCTAAACCACTGAAGGTTTATTTTGATCCCATTCTCCGCCTTTCAATCCACATTCTCTCTATTTATTCTTCAAAGGCATCCATCCATCCATCCATCTCAGCAGGCGTCCCTCCATTCTTCCCTTTGTTGTCTTTTAGGAAAGCAGCGCATCGTTCCTTTTTTTTTTTTTGTGCTACATTTGCAAATGTAAACAGTTTGTTTTCTGCTAGCAGCCCCTTGAGAGAAACCCCAAAACGAGTCTATTCCAAAAACGTAACGTTTGCACAAATGACTTCCAGAAATAAGGACGACTAAATCCAGCTTTTCATTTCTGAACTTTTAAAACATATGTGGGATGTTTTTGGATCTGCCTCATCAGTCTGTACATGACGGGACCTATATGCACCAAACGAAGGCCAAAGTTTAGGATAAATTCATCTCACCAATGCACCATGGTAAGGATAAATGTGATACGGATAGTGGAGACATACATGATTAAGATGTCGGGCAAACGTTTTTGAGGACAAGAATTCTTGCACTTTGTCAGATATGAGGATGTCAGGCCTGCTGCAGTGAGATGTCATAACTCACGAGAAATATTTCCAACCTTTGTGTTTCTTAGCATTTTAAGTAAGATATCATAACGTTGAAAGGGTCAAAATTAAAATGTTTCAGTTTAAAAATATCAAGTCACTAAAGGTATCGACAGAATGTGAAGATAGAATAGTTATGACATTATGTTAAGATTTTTACGCTGTGTGATGTAACCTTTACCCATCATGCCTTGTAATACCACTTCATACCTCAAGAGGTAATAGTGAGTCACTGTGGCATAAAGAAGGATAAAGAAGTACTGACTGCAGGTACTTTAGAAACCTGTGTTACAGCCCTCCTCTCAGTGGGATTCCTCCGCTCCACTCAAACTAAAGGATTTCTCAAATAATCTGAAGTCATGTTCCTCCCACTCGCCTTGAATCGCTGCCGGTCTTTTATCTGCAGTTCCAATCAATCCTGGTCAAAACTTCACATTGTCTAGCAGCAATGGACGAGTAGACTAATGCTCCTCCTGGTGATCCTTACACTGGCACTGACGAGCCCACACACCCAGCTCGCCTTTATGTGCACCCGGAATGACAGCTACACAGAGCAGGCTGGAGGAGACTGACAAGGCCAGTAAAAACTTTATGGATTTTTTTCTTGACAGTCAATCAGCCCATCAGGATTTCTCTTGCTTTGCCTTATGGCCACGCTGTTGATGGCTCAGGGAAAGAGGAGGGGGTGGACACCAACTAAGATAATGTGAAATGAAATAATATGCTACCCCTTAGTTGTTTGGGGTATGAATTGAACAGCTGGCTAATCGTTACATTATGCCCCTTTAAGGTATTTAGAAATGCAAAAATAGCTTTGTTTGTATATATCAAGATGAATTGTTTAAAAGACTGGAAAATCTAATGTAAAAGGTTGCTGCAGGGAGCGATTATTCGACAGAGCAGACGGGAGAATTTATCTGATTTTCTACTTTGTTAAGTTTTAGACATTTCTGCAAGAGGAACCTCATCTCACTGCTGCTTTGAAAAAAGAATGAAATTGGATGTTTTGCTGACAAAGTCCTGAGTTTACCCTTTAACATCTGATAGAAATGAATTTATAATAAACTCCACCTCAGAATAAAACCATGTTAGAATGAGCTCTACCTTTAGCGTGATGTGGGCAAACTGGCGACGTGATTTCAAGACGTAATTCAGCTTCCATCTCCGAATAAACCAAATCAAAGTAGAGACCATGCTTCAGGATTTCAAACAAAAGTAACTGAGGCACATACGTCTACTTTTCTCCCAAGTAGTATACAAACATGTGAAAATGAGAGCAACAGTTAGCACGAAAATGCACATAGGGAAAGTATCTGATTAGTGGGAAGCAAAATATCAGTTTGTTTGTCCGACTTCTGGCTGACGTGGCTCATGACGTACAAAACCTTTTGACACAGACAGAGGAAGCCATTAGAAAAACCAAACAAGTTACCAGGCACTAGGCGGACTATTTTTCATTCTTGTCTTTTTGGAAAAAGCATAGAAAAATATCTCTCTCTTTCTTCAGCTTCCACCTTCCCGACTTTCATTTTCAATCAGCCTATTATTGTTTCCCCCAAAGGAGTCCCTCTGTGATTTTTTTGGGTTCTGTTTTCTAGCAACTAAGGCAGCAAGGCTAGAGAAGTGATTGTTTTTTTTCTTCAGTTTTTTACAAAAATAAACAAGATGGCCACCGCGTTGCTTCTTTTTAAAGGACAGGGGGGTCGTTTCACAACTCTCTCAATGACAAACGTAAACTATGAGAAATGCTAAATTTGGTTTGGAGAGACTCGGCTGGAGTCAGGAGCAGGTGCATTTTAAAATGGATTTTAAAAGATGGATTTAAAGTGGGTCACGAGTGGCCAATGACCGTGGTCGATTTGCTTGAGTTGAGAGCAACATGATCCATTTTACTTCACTGAATTACAAAAAAAAAAACTTTACAATCTTGTGTTTTCTTCAGTATTGTTTAGGTCTAACGAGTAACAGTTCCCATTCTGAGTTAAGGCGACTTATTTTGCAGATTTAATAAGACGCTAACATGCTACATAGAGGTAAACTACCAAACTCTCAGCAATATATCGGCTGAATTAAACACTGTAGACGAGAGGCTCCATAGACTCAATACAGAGCAAAGATTTATACACTTAACCCAAAGAATTGATCCTTTTGATAAAATGTAGGGTTCCTAAGTCTCTCTATAAAACCATGAATCCTAACAACATGTAAAAGACATACAGAAAAATGTTACATACTGAGACCATGTTGATCTATTGGCACATAAAGAACATGATAAGAACATATATAAGAGAACATGCTAAAACCATTACACCATTCAACATGTAAAAATGACGTGTCCCATGCTATGAAACAGGCGGGTTGGTGTGCAACACGTGTGACCCCTGAGGACTGAAAACAAAAAACCAAGCGCAAGCCTTCATTATGTTGAACATCATTGTTTGGGGACGGACACATCCTCTTATCCTCGCACACATAAACGACGCAATAACACAAATGCACACGGACACACAACCCCCTCTTTTTCTCTGTACCATTTCTGTCAGACGGCTGTTACAAGTCTTAAGAGCGACAAATAGCTCCAAAAACGAGAAAACAAAAGAAAAATGCAAATAGACTAATTCTTATAGTACCAATTCCTGCAAAAAAGCATTATTTTCCTTTACAAAATAACATATTATATAGGAAAGTGTAGCAAATTGCATGTTTTCAACTATAACATCATCATCATTATTATTATTACCTTTATTATTATTAATATAAATGTTAAGCAGGTTAATAGATGGTTGTTCTATTAGGCAGGCAGCCAGGCACGTAGCTAGTATCATGGCACAGAGGAAGGTAGAAAATATTGTCACTTGGTTCAATCCGAATGGATGAAGAGAACACTTCGGTCCGGCTTTGCACCGGTTCAACCAGTCGAAACTGGTTTTGAGTAAGCAGTTCAAAAAGTCATGGTCAAATCAAATCCAACCAGTCCGCCATTTTTGCACCACTTTGCAGCCGTGGTGAATTTGCATTGATCCGAGAGAACACCGCCAGTTTCAGCAAGTGTGAAAGAACCCGACTGATCCTTTCTGTACCAATCCAACGGCAGCCAAGAACAAACTGGATTTGTTATGAACTTCAAGTCTTTAAAATAAGTTTTGGTTTTGAGTTCATTTGCACAGCGGGAAAATAGTTAAAAACATGCTCCAGATCAAATCTGGTTGTACCAAGATATAACAGTCTGAGTGATGCATGGGAGCAGTCGTGGCCAGCTCGGGGTTCAGTTTGGTGCATAAGAGATCAGCTCTGTTCAGTTCAGCTCAAGTGTTTTGCTTCTAGCATTATTTGTTTGTATTTTTTGCTCTGCTGTGTGGTGGCTGCGCAGGTGCTGAGCTCCATAAACTCATCCTAAATGAGACCAGTCTCGCTTTCAGTCGAGCTTCCAATCCTCTTATTTGGAAAGCACACAAGTGGCTGTTAATTAATGATGATTTCAGCTGCATGCCCGGACGCTGTTGTTGAATAACTTGCTACAGAGCCATCAAGGGATCCTTTGCTTGACGGACTATTCCTCCATATTATCCCTGCAGCATTGAGGCGGGATCCTACAATGATTTATTTGACCATTTGACAGCCGAGTGCTTCCAGCATAAGGATGTGTTCCGTTTAGTGCCCGGGATAGGCCCGCTTTGACATGAGCTAGCCTCCAGGAACGTGATGGCATACAGCTTATTCATTTGATGAAACATGTTCGTAAAGGTTTGTGAGAGTCAAAGGTTGCGGTTTAGTTACTCTCCACATTCTCTTCCATGTCTTTAGACTCAGCGACAGTCGTGACCTCGATAGTTTTTGTGACGTCAACGCTGCCATCTGATGCTGTTTCGCCTCCTAATTCCTGGTTTGTTACATCGTGACTCTCTACTCTTACCTCCATTTCTGCTTCTGTTTCATTATCATTAACATCACTGCCTGTAATTTCTTCTGCTCGATTATCAGGACCCTCTGCTGAGACATCATCACTTCCACATGTGATCTCATCTTGATCGCCTCCTTCTTTCATTTCCTCTGGAGTCACATCTCCAGACTCCTGCTCTGACGTCTCCATGATGCTCGGAGTTTCGCTCTCCTGCGAGTAGCCCTTCTGTTGCGACGTCTTGTCCGTGTACCTGTGTAAGCCCCTCTGTATGTGTGTGGTAAAATCGTAGCGATCCGCACACACGTGGAGGCAAAAACTGCATTGGTACGGTCCCTGGTCGCCGTGGCAACTCATGTGCAGGGCATACATGACCTCATCTAAAAAGTAGATCCCACAGTGGATGCAGCGATTGGTCAGGTCGTCCTGCGTGGCTACTTCCACCATCACACGATTTGATGAAACAACTTTTGCCGAATGATCCTCTTCTTCCTTTCCCATCTCCTCCATCCTATTCCCTCCTTCATCAGTCCTCTCCTCCTCTTTTTTCTCTCCTTTCCAGTTCTCTCGCAAACTCTCAGCTCGTGGCGACTCCTGCTTTCTCCTCTCTGCACCATTTGTTGACATGTGGGCATTTGCAGCACTCGTATCCCTTTGTCTTATTGCGAGATCCAACGGAGCGTCATTTTCTAATGATGATGATGATGAGGAGGATGAGGTTTGAGGATGAAGAGGGGGAGGGGGATAGTGAGGGGGAGCTGGAGGGGGTGGAAGAGGAGAGTATGGAGATGCACAGTAAGGCACCGTGTAGTTTTGCTGATGATGCTGTACTGGTGACACCATTGCACCAAGGTAATGTGCGTTATTGCCAAGGCTACCAGGGCTGCTTAGATTACTGAGGCTACCAGGAACCCCAGAGGTGGCTGCCATCTTGTACTTGGTCCAGAACCTGAGCCAATCGGACTCAGGGGTCAGATCAGGTGAGAGGGTTAACGGCAGGGGTAAAGAGAAAAGGGGATACTGATATTTTTCAATGGGAGACCCAGGAGGCGAATAACTAGACGGTTTAGACGGACGCATGTATTTTTCAATGGGACTGCCTCGTTCGGATCCCCCTCCCCCTTTAACTCCCTCTAACTTTGATGTTATTACTCCCTCTGCGATGCCGCCATTGCCCTCGACTACCAGCGAGGAGGGGGGGTGCGAAGGGACAAGGAGGGGAGGCATGCGTCTGTGGATCTCCAGCGTTTGATTGGCTAAGAAGGCTTGAGTGGAGCGGGGTGAGCGCGAGCGAGGGGAGGGCTGCTGGTTTTTCATCGACGTGCAGCTCCGGTCAGACTCCTCCCCGTTCATGCGCTCCTCGCTGGTGATTCGCTGCTGCTTGGGGGTGGGGTTTTCAGACGACAGCGAGTCAGGGTTGAGGCGTTTACGCGTTCGCCGTCGGATAATTTGTTCACCGTTGTTCTGCTTGATTATGTTTAGAGGTCTGGGTGTCTAGAAGAAACAGAGAAGCATATGAGAAAAGAGAAAGTTAGTGAACATTGAATTTTAAATGTGGTGATCGTTTTCTTTTATTTGACTTTAATATCAGTATGGTCACATAATGCTGAGGTACATGACACATAAGTCACTTTAAATAATTTATGTCTAAAGTGATTGCATTTCATAAGCAGACAGTTAATATTTGTCATATCATCTTTCACATGCATGACTGAACAGTTAATGAATTTTTTTTTTTTTTTTTTAAAGACACGCAACAGTCCTGTACACTGTAATTTTTGCCCAAACCACAAGGGGGAGCACTTACATCTGATGTGAGTGGAGTTTGCCCTGAAGACTAAACTTTTGTTTTGTTATCAGAAGCTCATCAACACGAACATATGTCTTCATTTCTGTCCCAGACATCATCACAAAATCTCTCTCACTCTGTGAGCATGCGGAAACTTCCTGTTGTATATTTTTGTTTAGAGTAAACTTATAAAAACTATAAAAAAACTGAAAAATAAACAGGTTTGAGAGTCTAACAAACAACATTAAAAACAACTGGAAAACTATTTCTGAAGCACTCACTTAATCTATTCCCCACCGCAGAATTAACGAAGTTCTTGTAAAGATTTGTGCAAGATGAAACTTTTTTTAATCTTTTAGTCCTAAATATCTGCCCAAAAAAATCTAAACTGTTTTAGGACAAATTAGAGGCAGATTTTCCTCCCTGGAAGTAAAATAAACAGTGGAGTTTAAAGTGTCTTTTAAAGCGTCCATACACTTTGACTCAAAAGTAATGACTTGCATTCCTTTTCATTTAAAAGAAAAACCAACAGTCCTCTCGTCTACATACACGTTAGAAACAGGGACCTCCACGCAGCATTAATTGAAAACAAGGTCAAATTCAAGCGATATAAAGGGAACCACTTTTCAAAAGCTTCAAAAAAACACTTTCAGCTTATTTAAATGTACACTGTCATGCAGGTATAAATTATTAATGTACGTCTAGAAATGATCTGCTCCGCATGTATGTGTGAGTGATGTAGATCCAAACCAATCACGAAAAGATAGATAGAGAGGGATGAAGAAAGAGGAAAGAGTGAAAGATCACGATGGAGCAACATGGAGGACTTGAAGTGGATGAAAAGCAAAGAGAAACATGGTGAAGAAAAGTAACTTAATGCAGTAAAGCTGGTATATTCTTAAAATATATGCACTGCAAACGATTTATACGATTTTATACATTCACAGTTATGTATGAGATATGTGTTTGTTAAAGTATGAAAACAAGCGAGTGTGTGGTTTATCTGTCTTTGTGGTGCAGCTGTTTCAAGAGAGAAGCTCAGGGAGAAAATACCAGGGATGTTCTGCAGAACATGTGAAATTGTGATCGCCACTTCAGTTCTGACAACGAATCAATAACCATAACTCTGACATGTTCATGTGCCCACAAAAAAACTGGTTTGATGATATATTAATGCACATATATTCAGGACCAGCGGCTTCATGCAGCAGCCTGGATCACTGACTGTAAACAAGTCATTCACTGAGACGATGCCGACAGCCAACATAAGAAAAAACACGTTTGTCAATCAAATCACAGAAATTTGACTCGTCCTTTATGGTCTTTCTGTGTTAGTGTTTATACCTATAGAGGAAGGAGGAGAACAAAAAAAAACCAAAGAGAGTCAGGGGGAGAGAAGTGAGACAGAGGTGACATGAATGAGAGAAGAGAGTAATATATGTTGAACAGAGAAAGTGGGGAGAGGGGAGATGAGATGCAGAGGAAGAGCAAAGAAATTCTGAAAGTCTGATCCCTCACTACCTATAGATTCTAAGATTCTCTACATCCATACAGTGATTCAAAGCCAAAACTCTCACTGTACTGAATCTTAGCTGCATGGCACTAGAAAGTCATTTAAACCAACATTTAACAGTATGTTTTGCAATGGCAGCAGTTGTCCATATTGACTGTACATGTACAAACTGTAAATAGCAAGATCTGTGTGTGTGCAACCCTGTAAGACACACACACACACACACACACACACAGACACACACACAGACACACACACAGAAACACACACAGAAACACACACAGACTCACACACACACAGACAGGTAGCTGTAATGTCGTACATCTTTATGGTTGTAGGGTTTGATAAAATATCTGGGCTGCATTACTCCACACAACTCTCTCTCCCTCTCTCTATCACTCCGTCTCCCCTTCTCTTCATGGTTGTCCCCTCTCATCATCTCCTAATATCTCCCTCCATCTCTTACTCTTCACACACACCCCCCACCTGAATCATCTCTGTCCGCACCCTTTCCCTGAATTTTTTTTCCTCTTTTCTTTGTCTTCCTCCTCTTGATCCCTCTCTATTTACCCTCCTCCCCCTCCCTTTTGGGTCCACCTTTTTCTCTCTCCTTATTCATAACTCTCCCTCTCCCTCACTCGCTCTCAAGTGTTTTACTAGCTGCTATCCTCTCTAATAATGTGTGTAGAGCATATAAAACTTTTATTATGGGATATAAAATATGGTTGTCGTGATGATTGCCAAGAGTGGAGGGAGCCGGGACGTGATTGGAGCAGCAGATGAGATGGACGGGTTGAACCGAGGACGTCTGCAGGGGCAGGAAGGAGTGAACTGCGATGGCTTGTCATCCTCTAAAAGGTCTTTAAAGCTCCATTCGATAATTGCGGCGCAACGGCCAGGGCTGTGATACAGTGGGCCAACTCCTGCACTTCTGCATTTATTAACTCTGATTTATTAGAAGGAAACATTTTTGTTCACTTTCAAATTTTACAAGCTGATCCTAAAAAGCCAATATATGAACATGAATCTATATATTTATATAATTATATACGTTAAAGCTCTGAAGGCCCCTTCCACACTTAACTTGAGTTAAATAGGTACATTTGAAGTGTAAATTAGATCAAACCCCTTAAAACCTATCTGAGGTATGAAAGTTCAATATTCTGAGGTAAACTGAATTCCTGGCTGACTCTTTATCTCATCTGTAATTCATGCAGTCTAATTAAATTTGGGATTTCCATAGACTTTCCCCAGGCTTAGATGGTAAAGTAGATTCATTCCATCATATTTCTCACTCTGTGGAAATGCCTCACTGTGACTGCTGAAATGGTGTGTAACTTCCTGGAACCCACCAAACCATATACACACACACACACTTTTGAGTGGGATTCACAGAATATATTCATAAAAAAATTTAACTGCAGTACGCGTCATTTAATTTGCATCGTATGCTAATCAGCTAGACAGGAGGAATAATAATTAGTGGTCAAAACGCACCCTGCAGACCCAGCGCAGGGTCTATAAAATAGTCTGCGCTGCAGTATTCCTAATTCAATATAAACTTTATAAGAGAGAATACTGTATGTAAACTGAATTAACTGAAACACAGATGAGTAAGCTTCCTTGTAGGTAACTGACAAGCTGAAATCAAACCTCTTATTTGTGTGAAAGAAACTGGACGACCGCCCAGTGTTTATCCTTTCACCTCACAGGTCTGCAGTTTGTTTAGTGTAATCAGTGGTGTAACGTACAGCGGGTGCAGACACAGCATCTGTTTACATGTCTGTTTGTGACTTACCGAATGTAGTTTTTGGTATAAACCACATGCGTTGCAGACGTAGCCTCCGTTAGCGTTCTTCCTCCACAACGATGTCTTGGTGGTCAGGCAGTTGGCACAGAAGACCCCACTTCCTCTGCGCCGCTGTGGACGAAGGAAAACACAGACAGCGTTAGAGAGTGGAGGTAAAAAAATAAAGTTGGATGGAGAAACTGAGCGAGGATTATAAAGACAGCAGAGGAAAGGGAACAAAGAAAGAAAATGTGGATTTGTTTTTTTATGACAATTGAGAAATGTGGATGGTGGTTAAGTTAGGAGAGAGGAAACTGATTGGCTCTTATCTATTACAGCGAATGGGGAGTTCTGCTGGGACTTAGTGTAAAACAAGTTTGATAAAAACATTGACATGTCCCAGCGGACGATGGATGAGAGGCTGGTTAAAACCCACTGAACATGGTGAGAACATGCAACCTCCACACAGAGGCAATGGTACAAACCACTGCACCACCGTGCCACCTGAACAACCAGTGTGTGTTTCAAATCTGTGAGTGCGTCAAAGAGATACTTCTGAGATAAATGCGAGCTCCCGCAGTAATTTTGTCAAGCACTACTCGACAGACGAGGAACGGGATGAGCTACTCTTTCACCTTGAGGTATGAAGTGCATTAGTGTTTTTCTGAACTGGAGCAGGTACTTTGCAGTCAAGTCTTTGACTTTTTGCGTACACACGCACGCACACACACACACGCACACACCTCAGCGGTTCACCGAGCAGTGTTGCATAGAAAAGTTGTGTGTGCAAGAAATGGCAGGGAGGTGAAAAGGCCAATCGTCGTGGCACCGTGCTCCATCACAGTAATGAGCCAATCACAACGTTTCTCCATCCCATTAAGTCTGTGGCCCCACTCACCACCTTCATGACCCTGAGAGGACAGCACACCACATCTTTCTCCTCCATGAGTCGGTCTACTCTCTATCTGCCTGTCCATCCAAACATTTCTGTTTCTCCTCCACTCTCAGTCCTGTTGCATCCCTCTTTTGTTTTATTGACTTTTACTGACGTAAAGTCTGTATAAATATATCAGCATAGTCTAAAGGTACCAGAATTTATCTGTGTCTGCCACATTTTTGTCTCTTCTTGTCTTTATTGTGTTGTTGTCTTCACATAAGCAGCAGCTAGATCTGAATACTGTACGTGCCTTTGGGTTCGGCTCTAAAATCCACAACACACCTGTGTCTGCCATCTTAACCGCCGTCATTTTTTGTTTCTCTCTTGTTATCACAATATGTTTCTCCCCTTCCCATCATGGAGTTAGCCTCCACTGGGACCTCCTTCTTTCAGCGCTGCCTTCTTGTTGTTTTAAGCTCGTGACAGTGCCAAGAGTTTAGCATATTTTTACGGGCTGGAACTACCTGGTTTTAACTTTTTCACAAAAGAGCTCCGTGCTTCACTTTTTTTTCTTCTTCCTGTAGTCTCAGAGCTGCAGACGGAGCAACTGCCGGCACATCCACTCTCGGAGCATCTGTTCCGTGATGCCAGCTAAAAGCAGAGGAGCCCGGTGGGAGCGGCACTGCTCAGTTTGCTTTTGCAATCTAATGCACCGCGAGGATCACAGGACAATTAACCACTTTACATTTCTGTGGGAGCGCACACCACACACATGCACACATACAAGGCAGTAATTCAGCACAGATGTATCTGAAGAATATTGTTTGTGCAGTACCATGAAGAATTATTTTTGTAAATTGCCTATTTTTAGACATATTATTTGCATGTGTGAGTAAACCCCTCTGAGTTAGTGGCAGTTGTGAATCCTTCAGTCAGACAAAAAACATAATAACATGTTTTCTTCCGTTTGTTGTTTCTCCTCTGTTTAATGTTGGGTGGAGATTGCTTAGGTCATGAAAAAAAAAGTATTGGGTCGCCTGTTGATATGGGAGTCGTCCACTAATCAGAAGGTTGGTGGTTCAATTCCTCTCACCCCCATTCCATTAAAATTGTGTGTAATTGCATCTTTGTTTCCTCCCCATTTGGCTCATAAACAGACATTTACTATGACATTCTTCCTAGTGTCTGGATCAGGATGGAAAATCTAAGTTTTAAATAGATGCACGTTTCTATATGGAAAACAGCTTCTCTCCGTCTCGATGTGTGATTGATAAAACATCCTCCTCCTAAAAATGTTTGATGCAATAAACACCTGAGCTAACATCCCAGTATTTATGGTACATGTGTTCTCGTCCATCTGACATCAGACAGCCGAGCACTTACACTCACAGTCTGTGTGAGTGTGTGTGTGTGTGTGTCGAACACACCATACGGTCGCCACATGTAGAGCGACAGAGCCAGGTGATTGATTGATGTGTGCTTCCTGTGTGTGTGTGTGTGTGTGTGTGTGTATATGAGTGTGTGTGTCTAGAATTGCAAGCCAAACAGTGCGTCTGTCATCAGAATTCAGTTTCCCTCCGAGCACCCAAATCACTCACATATGGCCCCACAGCTGCCCCCTCATCGCAACACACCCACACACACACCTGAAAAGATTTGCTTCCACCGGCTAATGAATGTGAGCTACATTTGGAGGAGAAGTGTGTGTGTGGGGGATGTCTTGGCTACTCTAAAGCTACAAGGATTGCACAGTGTGTGTGTGTGTGTGTGTGAGTGTGTGGGTGTGAGAGAGAGAGAGAGAGAGAGGTTCAAGTGTCAATTACACAGAAAGTACAGAAATAGCCCCCAACATCTTCCAGAACACACACACGCAGACACACAATTTGACTCATGATCTTAGACTTCCTTTTCAATCATCAACTGCTTGGCTCCGCACACGTTTACACACATACATGCACACACACAGCCACACAAACTTTATTGGTGATTCTGCTCCTTGTGCTCTTGAACATCAGTGTGTATATGCAGAATATGTGTGTGTGTGCGCGCGTGCGTGTTGTTTTTCTGATTGATTACTAATACCTGGCCTCTCCCACTCACCTCAGCCTGCAGAGGAGGGCTGCTGGTAATTAGAGCTCAGGGCCCTAATGACATCTATTTATCTGCGGCCTGTGATACCGTTCAATTAGCACCGCCGACAACGCCCTCTGACACGCACACATGCAGCATGTGTACACACACAGATACACACAAACGTTCATTACTTTGAAAATTAAACTCTTTATCAACCTCCTCCTAATCAAGCCAGATCCAGGCCAACAAATGAACATAAAAGTTGAGTTTTAGATACAAAGTTGAGCTAAAGTTGAGGAAGAAGTTGATTTTCTGCTCAATAAAACACAGTCATGTGGAATTCTCTCATTTTAAGTGCTCAAATATGTCAATTAAAAAAAAGAATGTGGACGAAAAACAAAAAAACGAGTGAATTATAACATTGATAAGTTAATATTAGAAGTTTTTATCAGTCTCATAATGCCCATGAAAAGGCCAGCAGAAATTAAGAGTATATTCTCCTCAGTGGCAGTCTGCACATAAAATAACATTTACTGGTTTAATAACCTTCACTATCGGTTTTGTCCGTCTCTCTGCTCTCATGCACAGCAGCTCTAACAGAACTTTATACCCACATGACAGTAAATTCAATACATAAGTGAGTTTGTTTGGGGGAAATATGTTTAAAAAAAGACTCCATATAATGTTTCATGGCTTGTTTGTGATCAAGTCTAATTTCCCAATTTGAAATTTTGTTTTTGGTCTTTATTGGGTTCATGCTGCCATGCCAGCTTCCCATTAAATGGGTTAAAATGATTGCCATCCTTTAAATTCAAACAGACGTTATGGGCTGTTCTCTGTGACTTTTTCGTGACTCGGCTCATAAAACCAACTAATAAATTATAGCTTCATTCATGAGAATCTGATTTTTATTCTAACATCAAAACATCTGGTGGAACCGCACAGTGGCCCGAGCCCTCAGCTGTGGCTTTGAGTCCGTTCCGACATTCTCTCGTAGCCATAAATTTACAGATGTTGTACAAACTGTTTACATTGCACGGCTGTTTAGATCTTTATGGAAGAGCTGGCCTGAAGAGTTAAGCGTCCACTGATTTGGGTCTGTTATACACAGTCCCTCAAATTTACTTTCTGTATTCCCAATGTTGCAGCTGCCATCTGCAGCCAATATATTGTGGCATCTCTGAACTGGAGTTGAAGCTGGACTTCTAAACGCACTACATTCATTTCATACAACTTCCTACGAGCAGGGTCAAAGAAATAAAAATGGGAAAGTTCTGAAATCCTTGGATTTTGTTTTTTGGTCAAAATAGACAGACAGAAAGAAAGAGTGAGAAAAAGAAGAAAGAGATCGACTGAGGCGCCCTGCGGTCTAAAATAAATTAAAAAAGAGGGCTCTCTAAACAAAGTCTTTCAAAATGAAATTATATTTAATTCACTTAAAGAGTAAGACAGCCTTGCCTTTAACACACAGACGCCAACACACAAACACAGATGCATGCAGAAACACTCACACACACACACTCATACATGCACTGACTTGCATTAAATCAGCGATTATTTAATCAAGCTAGAAGACTAGCTGGAGGAATTAACTAAATTCCATACTGCCAAGTCTAATATCCCACACACTGTATCAGTGTTCTGCTCTTTCTGTAACACACGCACACGCACACACACACACACAAAAGAGTAGGAAATGGACATGAGCACAAGGATTGGGGTAGTTTCAGATAAAGATGTAAGCACACACATAAACACAAGCATGTGCATACACAAAGACACACACTGGGTTAGGGTTAGCATCTGGGACCAATCTATAGAGTGGAGGTGCTACCAACCATCAACTATTTGTGTGTATGTATGTGTGTGTGTGTGTGTGTGTGTTAAGCACATGGCTCCATGTGTGTGGTTTCTCAGACTACTGTGTGCATTTAAATTGCGTCTCCTAATAGAATAATTGGGTTTGAGTTGAACGGATTTAAGTTGAACCGACTAAATTTATTCTGCAAGTTTATTCTTATTTAACGGGGAGAAACAAACAACAACACTGACAATAAGTAAAAGTGAGGTTCAGCACAAACGGCACAAAGTCAGTAACATGGTGCCCTGTGTCTGGTAACTCTGTGGTGGGTGCAACCAAACAGCTCCCTTATGTAATCAACAGATATTTGAAAAAACAAAA